ACAATTTTTTTTAAAAAGTAAAAACAAAGAATTAGTGAGGGGTTGTACTTATAACTCAAAATGTGCTCAATGTAAGGTAAGTTCGCTTCCTTTGCCCTGTAAGGTAAGTATATTCAATTAGACCTTTAATGTCTACTGTTAAATGTCTACCATTAACTGTCAAAGGATTTTTTTCTGGTAGTGATTTTCTGCTCAAGGGATACCCTCCCCTGCCTGCCTGGATGTTGCCACACAAGGTGAGTGTTCGCGTGGCCCTGTTGGTGCCCATAGGCCTCACAGAGCTGAGTGCAGACCCTGGGGGTGAGGCACGGGCCAGAAAAGACAGGACAGCCCACAGCGAGGCCAGCCATCCAGGTGGCTGGAGTGGGCTGAGCTGCTCCCTCTGAGGCACTGAGGACAGGTGCCTGGGCCGGGTTCCTGAGCCGGGTGCCTGGGCATGGGGAGCAGTCGGCGGTGCAGGTGCGCGTGAGAGCACGAAAAAGCGCCCGTGGCTGAGTATGAGGGTGATTGACACTTGGGGCGATTCCAGCACCTGGCCTGTGGGGTGAGGAAGGCCTGCAAAGAGTGGGGGCAGCCAAGGCTCCACCTACCCAGCATGCCCAGCACACCCCACACACACACACTCACCTCTGCCCGAGCGCAGGGAGAAGCTCAGGGTGCGCTTGATGCCCTCGCAGTTGCCCGGGTCTTCATTGATGATGCCCACGTTGGTGTTCCAGGTGGTCCAGTTCACCTCATCCACCCTGCAGGGCGAGGAGATGGGAGAGCAGGGAGCTGGCGGCCTGAGGGCATTGGCCAGCTTTCCAGGTCGAGGGCTTGGGCCCACAGGCCAAAGCCAAGAAGCCCAGCGATCAGGATGGGGAGACATAGCTGGTGGGGGAGGGTGGGGAGACAGGCCTGCCTTTTGGGCACCACCCTGGAGATATGTTCTCAGACCAAACCATGGGCTCCAGGGGCTTTAAATATCGGATTTTTGGTTCAGTCTCTAATTACTAGGTGACCCCTTCTGGACACCTCATTTTCCAGGATTTAACGCCTGGGTCTCACCAGCTGAGATCTAAGGTGGGTCCACTATGCCCACAGCTGAGCACAGGGGCAGCTCCTGGACCCATAGCTGGCTCTGGGTGAGCCCCCATGCCCACAGGTGAGCTCCAAGCAGGCCTCTATACCCCTGTACCCACAGCTGGCTCTGGGCGGGTCCCCAACATCCACAGCTGGTCTGAGCCTCCCAGGCTGTGGTTCCTGCTTGGGCTTTACCTGAAACACCACCTGTAGTCATTCTTGCCGTCAGGCGTGTACCCCACCTGCAGCAGCTTGCCTGAGCGGAAGGCCTTCCGCATACACTTAAGGAAGCTCTTCTCCGTGTCCAGGATGGTGATGGCTCTCTGCAGGAAGACACAAGGGCGGAGGGGCAGAGGGCTCGTCCAGGGGCCACGCTGGCTGCCGGTGCTGCCAAGGTCAGCCTCCCCCAGGTGTCTCCCGGGCCCGGCACCTCGGAGCAGGACCTGTGCCCTCTGCACAGGCTTGTTTCCGAAGCCTTGTGGTCGCCCCTCCACAGAAGGAGCTCAGCCCGCCCAGCCCCCACCCTGTCAGGCCCTGCTAGTGAGTGGTGAGTCCATGAGTGAGGTGGAGTGGCCCAGCCCCAGACCCTTCCCTGCGGAGCCCGGGCCCGCAAGGGGCAGCATAGTAGAGGTTAAGAGCAGAGCCTCGAGTGAGAGACTGCCTGGGCTGGCTCCTGGCTGGGCTGGCTCCTGCCTGGGCTGGCTCCTGCCTGGGCTGGCTCCTGGCTGGGCTACTTACTAGTTGCCCTGGACACAAAGACCTAACTTCTCTGTGCCTCAATGCCTTCATTCAAAAAGTGGGGATCGTGAGTACCCACTTCAGAGCATTGTTGTGAGGATTAAATGGGAGCATGTAAGTGCCCGGCGCAGAGTCCAGGCTACTCAATAAGAATGATGCTGTTATTATTAGTGGGAAGGCAAGCGTGGACCAGGGGTCTCAAAAGTGTCGCTGTTGGGGCCTGCCCCATAGTAGCTGCTCCGCCAGAGTATGATCTCTGGTGCCCACCCTCAACCAAGTTCCCCTGAGATGGGCACCTCATGGATGGGGCTGAGCCCTCTGTCTCCTTCCCTCAGGGCCCCCCCAGCCCACAGTAAACACCGAGTCTATGAACACAGGCTAATGACACTGGGCAGGGGGACCCCGAGGAGGAGCCAGAGGGAGGTGCCTGAGGGAGAGGCTGCTGCCTGATCCGGGGACCTGGCTGAGCTTTCTGCTCCTCCTCAAACCCTGCAGGGCCCATGCGCCCAGCTGACGCCCGCCTGCTGCACACACCCCACCAACCTGCCCACCTGCAGCTTCCAGATGTTCTTGCTCTCCTGCGCGATCTTGTTGACAGTCTCCCCCATGAGGGCGATGAGCATGTTGAGCAGGAGGATGTAGGTGAGAATCACGTAGGCCAGCAGCAGGATGATGAAGACGGCCTTGAAGTCGTAGTTCTCGGTGAATTCCAGGTCACCCATCCCGATGGTGAACTTGAACAGCTCCAGACACGTGGAGTATAGGCTGTTGTAGGAGCTGTCGGGCGGCCGGCAGCCAGGCCCCCGCCACCTGTGCGATGTGGTCTCAGCCACAGAGTCGTTCTTTCCGTCCTCAATCAGTGTCACCACCGCTGTAGGTCATGGGGAGGGAGGGGTGCAGCTGAATGGGAGCCACGACCTCAGGCCCCCACAACATACACACCCACTTCCCCGGGTGTGTCTGCAGCTGGGACACTGGCTATGCAGCACACCTTTGTTTGCTTTGTTTGTTTTGGTAGATAGATAGATAGATAGATAGATAGATAGATAGATAGATAGATAGATGCATAATATGCAAATCGACTAGATGGCGGAATGACCAGTCGGCTCTGACGATAGATAGATAGATAGATAGATGCATAATATGCAAATGGACTAGATGGCAGAATGACCAGTCGGCTCTGACACACACTGACCACCAGGGGCAGATGCTCAACGCAGGAGCTGCTCCCAGCCCACAGACCCCGATCGCCCAGTGGGGAACAAGGAACCGGGAATTGGGGATGGGTGGTGGCTGATAGGGGTGACACCAGGCCCCAATAGCCCTGCCAGTCGCCCCACACATAGAGGGCGACCACAGCAACAGTGGCAGGGGGCAGAGCTAGCTTCCAGCAGCGGGGGAAGATCAGCCCTGATCGCAGGCCAGGCCTAGGAACCTTACCCGTGCACGATTTCGTGTGCCAGGCCTCTAGAACATATAGATAGATGGATAGATAGATAGATGAGAGATAGAGATAGAGATAGAGATAGATGTAGATGAATATATTTATTTATTTATTTTTTAGAGGGATCAACGATCGGCTGCCTCTTGCATGCCCCCTACTGGGGATCCAGTCCGAAACCTGGGCATGTGCCCTGACCAGGAATCGAACCAGTTGAGCATGGTTTGGTCTCTAATTACCAGGTGACCTCTTTGTTCCTGGGTCAATGCTCAACCGCAAAGCCACACTGACCGGGCACAGACCTTTGTTTAAATGTTTTAAAAAGCACCCTCTTCTTCAAAACTATCAGAAAATGGTCATAATATACTATTTGGTTACAATAAGAACTTTATTACCCTGGTCGGGTAGCTTCGTTGGCTAGAGCGTCCTACCAATACACCAAGGTTTCGGGTTCAATCCCCGGTCAGGACACGTACAAGAAGCAACCAATTAATTCATAAAAAGTGGAACAAATCAATGTTTCTCTCTCCCTTCCTCTCTCTCTCTCTCTCTCTAAAATCAATAATAAAACTTTTTAAAAGAACTCGATCATCTGCTATGAAAACATTTGTTAAAATAAATATACATATCTATCTGTACAATGTAAATACAGTCAGCTTTGTGCAGTGCACCACCTGCTGAACCTGACATGGCAGCCCTGGACCCACACCCGCTGTCTCAGTCACACCATTTGCCTGTACCTCTGAGAGGGCCAGAGCCACAGGCTAAGCAGCCACACTCTGCACTCCTCTGTGGGAACGGTAGTCCAGAGCCCGAGAGCTTTTGTCGCAGCTGTGCCCGTGGTTACTGCATAACCACTATCTAACCCATAACCACTATCTAACCCATAACCAGTATCTGACCCATAACCAGTATCTGACCCATAACCTGTATCTGACCCATAACCTATATCTGACCCACATGGCTTCATCCCCGCCTGAGGCTACTGAAAACAGGGCCTTCAGATCAGGGCCGGGAGCCCACACCATTCCCTGTCAGTCCAAGCTCCTAGTTAAAGCTGCCCATGGCCCTTGCTGTTTTGGTTCAGTGCATAGAGCATCGGCCTGCAGGCTGAAGGGTCCCGGGTTCGATTCCAGTCAAGGGCACGTACTACAGTTGCAGGCTCCTCCCTGGGCCCTGGTCAGGGTGCATGCAGGAGGCAACCAATCGATGTGTTTCTCTCACACTGATATTTCTCTCTGTCTTTCCCTCTCTCTAAAAATCAATGGAAAAATATCCTCGAGTGAGGATTTAAATGTAAATAAATAAAATAATAATAATAAAGCTGCCCGTGACTCCCAGACAAAGATTTCAACATGGGCTGCAGGACAGGGACAGTTACGTGTGAACCATGTAATAGCGGGACTCAGATGAGGATCAGAAAATTATGTGGGTGTGTCAAAGGGCACAGGAGCCAGCTTGAAGGGGCTCCCAATGACAGTTTCTCAGACAATTTGAGCATCAAACTAGAAGGCGATAGTAAGGAGTTATAAGCCATTTTAAAAAGTGAGAACCCATAAAAAGAAGAATCTATTCTATGAGGCTATATTTAGGTAAATAAATAAACGTGTGTAAATGGGAAGTTCTCCCTTATACCAGCAAATAAATGTGGAAGGAATGATGGAGTTAGGAAACCATTATTTTGACAATCATTGGGATTAGTTGACTCGGGTGTGGATAAATCAGTGGATGCTAAAAGAATTGGATGAAAGTTTGATGAGAATATTTACATAGCCTCACAGCCCCGCCTCGAAAATAACTTATCGATCACAAGGGGAAAGATAAGAACCTGACCGTGGGAGAATCTGGCAGACCCACCAAAACACAACAATCAAGGCTAATATCATCAGGAAGGGGACACGCAGACACTGTGGGGCCCCCAATACAAGGCCGAGGAAGACACGCCTCACTTCCTTGAGAGGCTGACCAAGAATGCACCCCTGGGTCTGACCATGAGGAAATGTCAGACAGACCCAAATCGGGAGACATTGTAAAAACTGGCCCTGACTCGTCAAAAATGCTAAGGTCGAGACAGACCCAAATCGGGAGACATTGTAAAAACTGGCCTTGACTCAAAAATGCTAAGGTCACACAAGACAAGGGAGATTTGAGGAAGTGCCGCAGATTGAAGGAGACCAAAGAGGCATGACAACTGAATGGAGTGCATGATCTGGGATTTTCATTCCTGTGAAAGACGTAATTAAGGCAATTAGTGAAATCTGAACAAGGTTAGTAGCTTAGCTAATAGTACTGTGGCAATGTTCATTTCCTGATTTTGATCATTATACTGTGCTTAGAGAAGAGAATGTCCTGTTGTTTAGGAAGTACTATTTCGTGGTAAAGGCTGATCTTGTCTGATCATAAAAAACTTGCTCTCAATCTTTTTAAGTGGTGTGTGGGGTGTGTGTGTGTGTGTGTGTGTGTGTAGCAGGGAGAGAAAGTGATAAAAAGAGTGGCACATTTTGAGGAATCAGGATAGAGTGTAGAGTGTTCTTTTTTTTAAAAAAAACAACAACAACTTGTTTTCCTTAAAAAAAAAAAAAAATACTTAGCCAAAATGTAGCTATCCTACAAGCAAGTAGCACTTGCTACCTCAAAAATTACTTAAACATTCTAAGAATAAAATGTCCAGGTTCTCCTGCTCATTTCGGTGTGTTCTTTGTCCATCCACTCTGCCATCTGCAAACACACATCCCAGTGGGTCCCTCCCTCCCAGCCCCTGCAGAGTCCTCAAGGAGCTGAGGTGAGCAGAGTCCTTTCCCCCACCAGCCCTGACCAAGCCTGTTACCTGTGGAAAACCCGAACAAGAAAACAAGGTAGACAAACATGAAGCGACACAGGTCTCTCAGGATCATCTGCAGGAGAGAGCAGCTTGTCAGAACGGAGTCCAGGCCCAGGCAGGGCCGAGGGGTTAATGTTCAGCCCAAGTGGAACCCGAGCACATGCAGGAAGTGTGTTTGGTAAGGTTGTAGCTCAGGGGTCATTTCGGAATCATCCACAGCTCCCCCCACCTGGCCTTTGTCCTGGCGGCAAAGGGGGTCTGTCTGGTAGGCAGAGGGTCAAGTTTTAGGGAAGCTCCCAAACCCGGGTCAAGTCCAGATTGCCCGATTGGGGTGTAATTAGCTGGGGAAGGAGGTCTTCAGCCAAACCAGCATCTCCTCCGACAATACAGAGAGGATGGATGAAGTTTGTGGGCCCGGGTCCCACATACCCATGAGGGAAACGGGCTCTGTGGAGAACCCCCTCGGGCCCTGGCACCCACCTTCTCAATCATGACGGCATAGATGCCCATCTGCTGGAAGCCGCGGGTGTAGTAGAGCATGTTGGTCCAGCCCATGGCCAAGGAGAACACCATGGAGGCCACGTACTCCTTGCGACGGCAGAAGTACAGCACCACAGTCCCCAGCATGAACAGTGACTGCACAAAGCTGAGGGTGGAGCGACAGGAAGCGCTGTCTAGGGGCACCCAGGAGGCCTGGCAGCCCCACAGACAGGAAGACCTCAGCTGCCTGGGTCTCTCCTCGGAGGCACAAAGCACAGGCCACGGTGGGAGGTAGGGCTGGCTGTCCTGCCTCCTTTAGCGCATGGTTCTCAGTGGGAGCAGTATTGCCTTGATGGGGACAAATGTTGGTTTGGGGTGGGTTGGGGAGTGAGATCGTATGCTCTTTATACATAAAGCACAGATATAGATAGAGTACATAAGCCACCATACAGTGTATTTCTGGTATTAAAATTTTATGGGAGGGGCAATTGTAAAAAATATTATCTAAAAAGGTTGAGAAACACTGCTTTAGCTCCAACAATCTTCCTGCCCAGTCCCCAAGAAAACAGCCTCCTGGAATAACAGAACCTAGGAGGTTCCTACGCCCGTGAGAAAGGACAGGCCATGCTCTCCTGGGAAACCACAGGTAGAGTCTGATGGTCACACCCTCAAACACAAGAGCAGAGCCAGGGAAAACGTCCCTCAGCCCCCTTAGGCTAGTGGGAGTGCCCACGTCAGAGCCCTGGACAGGGTGGACATCTGGATGATCCTATGGCAGAATCTGCTCAGTGGTCCCTTCTTTCCTTATTCGCCCCAGGCTTCCTTGCTCATCATGACCTCCTCCTGAGAGCGCCCCCAGCTGCACTAACACTGTAGACCACAATGACCACCTCACTCCCGCTGTGTGAGGGAACCCAGCGAAAAGCTGCCACTGTCCTGATGGAAGTCTATTAAAAACGGATGTCAATAAACAGGCCCATCAATTGAAGTTCTGTTGAAAAGACAAACCCCTGCATTTGCAGAACCTTGGCCAAATAAGAGCTGGTGCCAGCTGAAGTAGGTAAAGGGTTGCCTCGGGTGGAAAATAGAGTCCCCATATATGGATTTTGGAAGCTGGGAAGCAGTGGACAAATGGAAACTCACTTAGTAGACCAAGAAAGCCAAATCTGAATCATAGTGAAAGCTGAGAGCCAACTCTTTTAACCAAGGAGCCTCAAAAAGCTTAGGGGCCTCTGGAGGGGAGGTGATAAGGTACCTAAAATAAGATAGAGTAGAGCTTTTGTTGCCGAAGAGAGGGTTTTTGGACGCAATTTAGTCAAATACCAGTGAAAGCAAAAGGATGGGGAAAATGAACAAGGGTGCATCCAACTCAGACTATAAACCACATGAGCCCGTGAAACAGGTCTGGCATCCCCTAGCACCTGGTCCGTACCTGGCACAGAGTGGACCCTCAGTATTCATTCACCCCAAAGCATTTATTAAGTGCCCTCCATCATTCATTCAACAGGTTGTGAGGTCCTACTATGTTCCAGGCTGAGTGCATGCGAGAGAATGAGTGAGAGCCGATTGCTGTCACCTCAGGACTGGGCCAAAAGATGTTGTCTGCTACTGAGGCATTAGAGCCAAGGGGTCACTTACAAAAGTATCTCACTGTAGCTGTCCACAAACAAGGACTTCAGTGACGGCCGCCTCTGCAGGAAATATTGAATCTGCAGGTAAACAGACAGAGTAAGATCCCAGGAAAGGTTAGCTGTGGCTCAGTGGTGAGCACCCAGACTGCTTCCCAAATGGCACCACATGGACCACGCAGAGGTTTTCGAGGGAGGGGGAGAGCATGGGTCAGGCGAATGGGGTGATGTTACGTGACTCGGTCAGGAGAGAGTTGCACAAATAGAGAGTGCAATAACAGCTATAGCTAGAAGTAGAGACAGGAAGGAACATCGCCAAAAGTTATCAGCTGTGGTGCTTGAGTGATGAGATTGGGCAATTTTTTTTCTTCTTTTTTAATTTGGGCTTTTTTCCTAATTTTCTTTAAGTATGCATTACAGTAAAATTTCTTTAAGCAGATTAACCAGTACTCTCCCCTCCCTGAAAACATTATGACTGATGCCCACGGCCCTGCTGAACGCTGGCGGCTCTAGGAGACCCTCTCCAGGACACCCACACACTCCCTACCCTCCCACCTGTTGATCCCGGGTTTGCCACGAGTGCTTTTTGCCTGTTGCAAAAAAAAAAAAAAAAAGCTACTGCAGTGGCTTTTATTTTATTATAATATAAACTATGAGAGTGAAAATAAAGGTAATTGTTTCCATGAAGACAGAGTCTGGCGATTTGGAAAGATTCTTTAAAGGTTGCTTAAAAAAAATGGATGTAGCTTAGATTAAGGGGGAAAAATCACAATAATATCAAATTCTTTGTACATGTAACAGTGATCCTACATTCAAAGAAAAGACTGCTCGTATAATCAAAGAATGGCCAAGGAATGTGCATCTATGCGTTTTCAGTTAAAATAAAATGGTTCCAGTATGCCCGTAGATTTCTTTCATTGTTCTGAGCTTTAATGGACTGTTTTGATTAATTAAGCAACTACCAATCGTGATCTATCTCTTAAGAGGCTCCCCCTCTACTTCTGTAATTAAATATTACGTTCGGTAGCGATCCCTGACTGTATCCAAGACTGACGGCCTGCGGGGACCCACCTATGGACGCCCACCCTCCAACCCTGAATGCCTGGAGCCCTGAGTGCCTGGTCGGCTTTTATCTTCACCTCTGCATCCCTGGGCTCCGCAAGCAGGGCCATTTCCTGTCCGATGAATTAAGCAGTGAGTGAGCACTGAGTGGTTCTCCTGGCTTTTTGTTTTGGTGACAATGGACATTCACAGTGTGGAAAAGAACGCTTACCCCTCGGAAAAAAAAGTAGACTCCCCCTGATACAGAAAGAATCTCTCCAGTGACTCGGAAATAGTCTCCAACAGTGTATCGCAGCTTAAAGGGAGGCTGCAAGGTGCAGAGAAGTTAGTGACTCCATTCACTCATTCATTCATTCATTCGACAAACATTTACCAGGTGCCAAGCTCTGTGATTAAAACCCAGCCCCTGCCTGAGAGGCTCAGCCTCCATCAGGAGAGAGACACGAATAAAAACAATACACTATTATGGGGACACCCATATGGACGCTCCTCTGTGGAACCTGATTCCCAAAGTGGCGGTTCCAGGTGCCAAGCAGAGCATCCTTACAGGGCCGCGCTGTCTCTCAGACAAGTCGCAGCCCAGAGTCCCGCTGGGAGGAGGGTGATGGCAGAGGTGGAGGCACTCTTACGGACCCAATGCCACCAGCTTCCCGCCCCTCCCGAGGATTGGGGTGAGCCCTGGTCTCCCAGAACTGTCAAGGTTTCCCAAGGAAGGTGGAGACATCCCACATGGGTGTGTCATCCGTGTGTTTCAGCCACCATTTCCTTTTAGCCTCCCATCAATGTTTCATAAGCGCTGGTTCACTAGTCTATCTTATTTTCACTCCTCTTTTCTCTTAAAATGAAGTCATTAAATGGCCTTAATAGGTAGATAGAGATCAGGTTTCACCCAACTAGGAAGTTGAGTTTTTAAATCAAATTTGCAAGCAAGGCACCCTGGAAGTAAAAGCAACAAAATTAAGTGTTTGGGTATTAATTCAGAAACTCGAGGGAGTCCATGTTTCCTGCAAGAGGGAAAAAAATCTGGTCTTAAGCTGACCTGATGGATGGCCCAGGGCCTGGCACAGAAGAAGTGCTCAAAGGTATACGCCCAGGGAATGGATAATGAGTGACGAGTGAACAAAGGTGGGCGGGTAAGCAGGATGGCAGTGGGCTTAGGGCTTATGCCATCCCAGGACCCTGTGGACACCCGGCTTAGGGGAGAGCTACTTCCTGAGCCCTAATTCCTGCATCCTTTCTAACCTAGGACTCCCCCTGTGCAATCAGGGAGGGACCTCAGCCGCACAGAACCAGAGGCTGAGGGAGCAGCAGGGAACAGGAGAGAGGGCAGGTTTCCAGGACAGCCCGGAGAGCAGGAGAGGAGCGCAGGGCCCAGCCTGGGTCTGGGGTCCTGAGGGTCATATAGGAACGCCCCTCCCCTCTCCCCACACCCCACGCCGAGGCCCGAGCCCAGGCCGCACCAAGCCGTCCACAGGCCTGTAGTAGGCGGCCGTGGTGAAGATGATCATGTACAAGCAGTAGACGAAAAAGTTGAAGTAGAAGATGCGCTTGACAAATCTGTCCCACTTGTCCTGCAGGAGTCGGTTCAGCGGCTCCACCAAGAGCATGTCATGGCGATTCTAAGGGAAGCAAAGAGAGGTGAGGCTCACTCCCCACCAGGAACCACCTCGAGCCTTCATCAGCCAAAGGCACTCCTCACACCCACATCTCTGCACAGGACCCACCATGACCATTCCCTCAGCCCACAGAGCCGCTGAGGGTCACAGACCTGAACCAGCAGGCCCCTCTGGGCCTCGTGCTCCTGTGTGTACAGTGAATGAGGGGTGAAACTGCACACATGACCCTAAGTGCCCCTGACACCTAAGAACTAGCAAGTGTTGCCCGACATTCGATGCCCATTACCTTTAATAACTCACTTCTGAGCACCTACATCCTTATTATTCCCACAATCATGGGAAGAGGCTGGCACAGGCAGAGTCTGGCACGAGGCTGCTCGGGGAGGGGCTGAGGGCAGGTATGAAGAGGCCTCTGGGTTCTCACATTCCCAGTCTTGGGTCAGGCGGGCTATCCAGGCAGAAGTGGTAATGACCGATGCATGAGACTGAAGGCAACTAGACCAGTGGTTCTCAACCTTCTGGCCCTTTAAATACAGTTCCTCAAGTTGTGACCCAACCATAAGATTATTTTTGTTGCTACTTCATAACTGTAATGTTGCTACTGTTATGAATCGTAATGTAAATATCTGATATGCAGGATGGTCTTAGGCGACCCCTGTGAAAGGGTCGTTCGACCGCCAAAGGGGTCGCGACCCACAGGTTGAGAACCGCTGAACTAGACAGTCTTCGCTGCAGTGGGTGGGGCTGTGCCTGGGACATCATCATTACACGTGTGCTTTGGGGCAAAAGTCTGGTACCCAGGAGATCTCTGTTCAAATTCAAATATCCCCGGATGGAGGAGCCAAAATCAGGTCATCCCAGCCTCTTCAGACTATTGAGCCCAACCCCCCAGCCCGAACTTGAGCTCCTCCAAAGAGATCCTTGTTCAGTGTCTTCTTGAGTAACTTTGGGAATGGGAAGCTCCTTGCTTCCTCAAGAAGCCTGTGTCACCCCAATAAATTCAATTTTAAAAATTACAGCAATGAGAGAGCATTTTTTGCCCCATTCACTTGAAGTAGTCTTAAAACAATGAAAAGATTGATAATACCCAGGTCGGCAGGGCTAAGGGCAACTGTGTACCTATTGATGGTGGCCAAATGCATTGAAAAAGTTTTTTTGGAGGACAATTTCACAGTAGCTATTAAAATATTAAAATGTACATACTTTTTGACTTGGCAATTCCAACTCCAGATATCCTTCATAGAAAAAATCTCAAACCCGTGCCAAGTGGCCTGTAGGCATCGTAGTAGCAAAAACTGGAAATAACTCAAACGTCCTTCTATGGACATGTCTCCCCATCCCTGCTGTGGAATACTATGCAGCCCTGTTTTTAAATGCAGCAGACCCATGTGGACTGATATGAAATTGTCTGCGAGACACATCAGTTAGTGAAAATATTGGTTGCTCTACATCATGTACAGCATGACCCCATTTGTGTAAACAAAATGAAGTTGCCTGTCTGTATGGGATAAAAGGAGGATTCTTTCTGTCTGTGTACTTCTGATTTACCTTGTTAAGGGAGTATCATTGTATAGTGTTTGGTGATGAAGGAAAACATTCGGGGGGAATGAATGGGTTGATGAGGCTGCAGGGCCTAGACCCCCCAGACAGCGGGTTTTCATTGATGAGAACACAGGGAGCCACCCCAGTGCGGGCTGAGGGCAGGGGTGTGGTGAGACCGGAAGCCTCCCTGGCCCCAGCCCCGGCCCACTCACAGGGGTCTCACTGCTGCTGTAGGCGATCACCTCCAGCACCGAGTTCTTCTCGCAGGTGTCGATGCAGGACAGGTCGTAGAGGGAGGAGTGCACGGGCCCGTAGGCCCACTCGGTGAACTTCCGCGACAGGTGCCTGCACTCGGGCTCCTGGATCTCCCTCTGGAGAATATAGGCCAAGACCTGCCATGGGAGTACAAGTGCCTGTTAGAGACCAGCCTGGTGCCCACCACAGGCTGTGTCCCCACTGGCCACCAGCTCTGCTTCAGGAATAATCCTGCTTCCCAGCCCAGCTGGAGACCCCACCCAAGCACCTACCCCCTTCCAGCAGCCTCCTGCAGACACATCAAGTGATTACACCTGGCTGATCACATCCATTTTACCCCCGATGCCCCACCTTCTCCCCGTGTCTTGTTGGTGATACTCAGAGTTAGAAATCAGAAATGGTGCCCTGGCTGGTGTGGCTCAGTTGGTAGGAGCATCATCCTGTACACTGAAAGGACATGAGTTTGATTCCAGGCAGGGCAATACCTAGGCTGCAGGTTCGATACCCCATTGGGGCATGTTTCTCTCTCACATCGATGTTTCTCTCTCTCTCTCTCTCTCTCTCTCTCTCTCCCTCTCTCTCTCTTCCCCTCTGTCTAAAAAATCAATGATAAATGTCCCAAATGAGGATTAAAAAAAAAAAGAAATGGCCACATGTGGACTTGGGTTGGTAAACACACAATACAACATACAGATGAGGGATTATAGAATTGTACACCTGAAATCTATATAACTTTATTAGCTAATGTCACCCCAAAAAATTCAATTTAGAAACAAAGTTCACAAGAGCCAGTAGTTTAAACAAATAAAAGCATCTCTTGTGATAATTAGATTAAATGCTTATGTTTACATTTAGGTTTGCTTCCGTGAGACAGCAAATGAGTCTAAGAATGGAGAACTTTTTTTTTTAAACCATTTGCAGTGAGAGAAAGCAAATTAGTAGCTGTGTAGAGTGGGGAGGGCAAAGGGGTAGGAAGACTAACTGCAAAGAGCAAGAGAGAACTATGTACTGGGCAACAGTAGTGCTCTGTGTGTTGACTGGGGTGGTGGTTGCAGCTGTATACACATCAAAACTCATCAGACCGAGTACTTTATGTTGTTGTTGTTGTTAATCCTCATCCAAGTATATTTTTCCATTGATTTTTTGATAGAGTGGGAGGGAGGGGGAGAGACAGAGAGAGAGAAACACGGATGTGAGAGAGACACATCGATCGATTGCCTCCCACACACGCCCTTCAGTCCACAGGCCGAGGCTCTATCCACTGAGCCAAACCAGCTAGGGCCAGACCAAATACTTTAAATGTTTCCATTTGTTTGATGTAAATCACAGCTCAATAAAGTTGATTTAAAACCATTAAAAAAATGAATTAAATGGTCATGTGAGGTGATTCTAATGTGCAGCCAAGGTTGAGAACCACTGCTTACCCCCACCCTACCGGCTGCTGTGACAGCATCAGGACCGACACTGTGCGCGTGTGTGATCACAGGCATGCACAGCGAGGCAGGCAGTCCGCTCCCACAGCACCCCCAGCTCCGTGCGAAGCCCCCTCCCTACCCCAATCTTCCCGCTGCTGGCGGCCAGGGCCAGTGGCGTCAGCCCCTTCTTGTTGGTGAGCTCCTCCAGCTTCAGCGTCGGGTGGAGCTTGGCCCCCAGGATCAGAATCTCGTTGTACATGCTCGTCACAAACTTGGTATTGTCGGCCGTGTTGTCGGCCACTTCCACCAGCGCGTGCAGCACTGTGTTGCCCACCGAGTCCCGGGCACTGATGTCTGCCGGCTGCCAGGAGTTCTGCAGCAGGAACTTCACGATGCCCAGCTGGTTGGTGCACGCGGCCAGGGAGAGGGGCAGCTCGCCTGCAGCCAACACAGGCACACAGTGGGCCTCGGGAATAGACAGCCTGGGCCCTGCACCATCCAGCCTGCCTCTCCCTCTGTCTCCACCCCAAAGCCCCCCCTCAGCAATCATCACTAAGTCACGGGTCTGCCACCTGGTCTCCCTACCAAAGTAGAAGCCAGGCCGCCCTTTGGTTTTCTTAAAGAAGTCCCCATTGGCTGCAGCCTGGACGTCTGCCCCGTTCTCCACCAGGAGGGTCACCAGCGCCATGTTCCGCCTCTCGATGGCGATGTGCAGCGCTGTCTGGCCTGTGGAGGATTCGTGCTGTTGGCTTTGTGCTCATGTCCTGTAGGGGGTGCCCAGACAGGTGCTGGGGAGGCCTGGGCAGAGAGTGGCAGATGCCCCCCCAGTAGAGGAACCCAGGCCAGGAGCCCCTGAGGGAGCCCCTGCGGCAGGACTAGAGACCTTCAGGAATGGGGACACCAGACTGGAAGCTGGAAGAGTCACAACTTCCCAAGGATGAGGAACAGCAGCAGAGAAGGAAGCCACCAGGTCCAGAGGTCAGGAGCAGCAGGCCCACCGAGGGGAGGGCGGGACCCTGAGCACCAGGAGGAACCAAGCCAGCAGCTGGGGGGCAGGGACCCCAGGACCAGGAGATGCCGGCTTGGTGGCTGGGACAGGGAGTATGCTGCTCAGAGGCTTGCTGAGGCTCACCAGCACCCGCCTGGCCCCAGGAGGGCTGGTGGGAGCTGAGCCGCCCCCGCCCCTCACCCTTGTAGTAGCTGTCTGTGTAGCTGGCGTTGACCAGCTCCGTCAGGCTGTCCGTCTGCCGGGCAATCTCCAGGAGCAGGGGGATGGTGCTGTTCTGCCCGTCGTGCAGGTTGAGCATGGCCTTCAGCAGACAGGTCTTCCCTGTCTCTGGGTCTGCAAGATAAAGTGAGGGTCAGAGCAGGTGGCAGCGGGGGTGCGCCCGGAACCCACCGCCTCCGGGCCCACCTTTGAACTCGCTGTCCATAAGGTGCTTCTTGCTCTTCTGCAGGAAGAGCAGCAGGCTCTCCAGCTCCTCGCAGTTATTCTGGGCAACAGCTTCAAAGATCTTCCTGCGGTCGTAGAGCTTGAGCTTCCGCTCGGTGCCCGCTGGGACGGAGTCCTGGGATGACTGCCTGTGGGCCAGAACACACCCTGGTCTCCTACACTGGGCACCCCTGGGGCCTGAGGCTTTCGGAGCTCGTCAGGGAGCAGGACAAAACCCCAGGGCCCTCCAAAAGGAGAAGACACATGATATACTAGTAAACCCACCCCGCCATCGAGGTGACTGTCCAGGAAGCGGGTGTAACAGGGAACAGGGGGTGTACGAGCCCCCATTCTGTCCCCACCCTGCCTGTAGGCACCAACTACAAGCATGTCAAACTCATGGCCTGTGGCCCACCGGCCGCGAGTGTGACATGCTTGATCTAGAATGTCTTTGCTGCCACCACTTCCTCCAACAGGCAGGTCCCTCACTTCTCTGCCTGCTCGGGAGCTGGGGCTTAGAAGACAGTTCCCTAGAGGGGCTGGACGCAGGGTGTGGCTGGCTCCAGCTAACTCAAAAATCGTCCTCACGCTGGCCTTGGAGGAGGCCGGAGGGCTAGTGGGCCCCTCGCTGGAGCTGTTTTGTCCTCTCTGTCTAAAAGCATATCTTGTCCTTAAGCTTTCTGACTGGAAATCCAGGTGTCTGGGCTAGTGAGCATTCCAGGTCTGGACCCCTGAGATCAGCCGGCAGCTGGGGATCCGCATATATGCCAACACCCCTTGGTGACCACTCAAGGTTCTAGGACAGTGATGGCGAACCTATGACACGCGTGTCAGAGGTGACACGCGAACTCATTTTTTTGGTTGATTTTTCTTTGTTAAATGGCATTTAAATATATAAAATAAATATCAAAAATATAAGTCTTTGTTTTACTATGGTTGCAAATATCAAAAAAATTTCTATATGTGACACGGCACCAGAGTTAAGTTAGGGTTTTTCAAAATGCTGACATGCCGAGCTCAAAAGGTTCGCCATCACTGTCCTAGGAGCACAGATGCTGGAATAGATGACCTCTGAAGGCTCCCAGGCTCCCCAGCTCTATGACGCTCAGCCCATTAGCTGGAGAACCTGAGGGCTGGGGCCTGAGCCAGCTGAGCCAGTGGGCTCCTGGTGGGGAGGGAGCCGGGCTCCAGGTGCTGCTTACCTGGCACAGGTGGGGCCATCCCCAGTCTTCTGGACGACGACCACAGGACTGACCGTGATGGCCGGGCAGGAGGCTGGCTGCCCTTCCTCGTAAGAGCAGTCCATAGAAGAGGCCTCCTCCGAGTCACACTTCCCAAAGAGCCGGCTGCGGCTCTTGGCCGTGGGGAAGATGCTGGGCTTGGCCGGAGCTGGCCTGGTGTTGGGGTCTCCCTCCAGGGGTTTTGGGTGGGAGTCTTCTTGTGGCCGGTCCTCAGACTCCCCTGAGTCTGAACTCCCCCATTTCTTCATCCTTGTCCAAGAGGCAGCCTGCGGGCAACCACCAAGATCGGGTTTGTTCCCAGCTCAAGGACGGTAGGACGCTACCCCCTAACGACCCTCCTTGCAAAGGCCCCCGTGAAGCAGGGCATCCCAGAGGTCCAACGCCCCGGGCCCCCAGAATGGAAGCTCTCAGAGGTGCTGTACCTCCCACCCCAGAGACCCAGTAACAGCCCCAGGGGCATCAGCCTCTGGGAGTGGACGGCCCCAGCTTGGAGGCAGCAGGCTCTGAGGGACCAGATGGGTCACTCTGAATGCAGACGATACCACTGCTCTGCATCCCTCCAAGATCAGATAAGGGAAACAAGGGGAGTGGCTGTCTCTGGCTGTGCATTCAGGCCAGAGGGCCAGCTCAATCCCAAAGAGCCGAGCAGTCTTGTCATGGAAACAGGGTGGCTGGCGGACATGTTCACATTCCAGCCGGCACAGGCCCTCCTGCCCCAGGCATCCCATCCTCAGCCACGCCCTCCCCTGCCTTGGCTCTTCCACCTGGCTGCTGCACCCATTCAGTTTGTAGAGGGTTTTTTTGTGTTTGTTTTTGTTTTGTTTTGTTTTGCTTTGCTTTGGTCATTTTTTGTGAAATTATAATAGGCCAAGCATCCTGGCCCTGAACTTTCCTACCTTGAGGGGCTGGCGGGCCTTCGGGCCTGAGCACCTGGAGCTGAGCTGGCAGCGAGTGCCAGCATGTGGGGCCATAAATGTGTGTAGATGCTGTTTTTCACTCCCTTCCTAACCTCACCTCCTGCTCTTCTCTCCATCTGGCTGGGCATCCCCACACCCTGGGACCAGGACTGCCCACATCTCAATGGCCTTTGCTCCTGCTGTGCCTCTCCTTGGGGTGCTTTCTCCTCCTTTTCTTCAGATGCCACCTCCCTTGGGGTCCAGTCTCCCCCACACCCCCTAATCCCTGCACTGGTCATGCTCCTCCCCCTCCAGAGTGGCCCAGCTCGTTGGCCATCGGTCCCTGAAGGCCGTCTTCGCACGGTCCCTTCTGCTTCCCACTTCCTAGGGTCTAGGTCTCGAGACATGCATTTTCTTTCTTTTTTCTTTTCTTTTCTTTTTTTTAACTTGCAGTATGTTGAAGAAGGGGACGAATATGACTACAAGCCTTGAAACCACACTTATCCTGATTCAAATCCCACCTCCAGCTCTCACTGTCGAGACATGCATTTTCCAGTGAAATTTCAGGCAGTAAAACGCAGAGCACATGGCGGGGTCCTGCAATAAATCAGCTGTGATCCAATGCCCCGATCCCTGGGGGAGTGAGGCAGTCTCACAGCTCTGTTCCCGTGAACAGGACAGACAGCTGGCTGCCGGCCCATTTCCCCTCCTGCCTGTTATTCTACTTCCCGGAGGACCAGTCTTTCTCTGATTCATCCATCAGGTGGAAACCTTGCAGCAGGAAGTGCTCCTGGCCACAGGAAGCCCCACTTGCAACCACTCACACACTCATTCAGCCATCACTCAACAACCACCTCCTGAGTCCTGCTGAGTGCCTGGCCCTGTGCTGGGGAAACCCAGAGGACTCAGACCCCATCTGAGACAGAAACCAGGTGTGGCTCAGGTGTGGGGATGGCAGGAGGGGCCAGGGTGCTGAAGAAGGCTGCATGGAGGAGGTGGCCGATGAACTGGGCCTGGAGGGGAGTAGGGTTGGGCTGGGACTGGGGGAGAGAGAGGGGACCCCTGGAGAAGCCAATGAAGAGAAAGCCAGTGGGACTGGAGGATCAGCAGCGAGGTCAGAGCCAGATGGCTGTTGGCCTTGAATGCCAAGGCCACCGGATGTGGGTATTATTGTGTGGATGGTAGGAAGCCATGAAAAGCTCCAGAAGGCTGACCCTGGTCACTAGTCTGTGCTTCCAGAAGATAACCTCCTGTCAAGGACTGTTCACTGTACAGGGAGCCTGTCACCATTTAATAGGCACGGGAGGCTCTGGCCAGTGTGGCTCAGTTGGTTGGGCTCAGATTATGTTTTGCTCTCACATGGATGTTTCTCTCCCTCTCCCTCTCCTTTTCTCTCCCTCTAAAAATCAATTTAAAAAACCTTTTTGTTGTTGTTGTTGTTACTCTTCATCTGAGGATATTTTCCCTTTTTTTTTTCTTTTTTAGAGAAAGTGGGAGTGAGGGAGGGAGGGAGGGAGGGAGGGAGGGTGAGAGAAAGATTGAGAGAAACATCCACGTGAGAGAGACATATTGACTGGTTGTCTCCTGCACATGCCCAGACTGGAGCTGGGGATCAAACCTGCTACTCAGTTATATGCCCTTGTCTGAGAATCAAACCTGAAACCCTTTGGTGTGCGGGCCAATGCTCTAACCACTGAGACAACGGCCAGGGCAACAAAAATATATATATTTTTATAAAAATAACAGGCGCAGGTGACTAGAAAGAATGAAAATAACTGATGTGCTTGAGCACATGCTGTGCAAGGGTGAGCGCTGTTCTAACCCTGCACAGGCCTCACTCACTTCATTCTCACAGCTCTAGGAGGCACATATTTTACAGAGCAGGACACTGAGGCGCAGAATCGTTACATCACTTGTTCGAGGTCACACAGTAAGAAACAGACCTGCGTTGGCTCCCAGGCAGCCTGGCTCCAGAGCATCTCCAGCTCTCCACCAGCTCTCGGGAAGGTTTGGGGTTCCTTCTCAGCCAGGAAACTCAGCCCCAGACCTCACACCAGAGCCTGGGGGTCAATCAGACCCCCAGCTCTGGGGCCAGGCGGCTGGGGACAATGCCTTTCCACTCCGAAGCCCCAAACCTGTGCCACCCTCTTGCTCAAACAAGTGTCCCAGGAAGTTCAAAACCCAAACGAAGTATAAATAACACCCAGGCCCTACGCCAGGACTGGCCCTCCCAGGAATGTCTCCCCTTGAATAAGGCTGGTCACAAAACCAAGAATAAGCCTGCTGCCTGGCTAGCAGCTCTTAACAGGCCAACAAGAGAGCACCTACCAATGTTCTGGCAATGATCCTTCTTAGCAGCTTCCCCTCTTCCTCTGATCAACTCAAATCTAACCCGACCCAGTAAATATGAAGCAACCCACACAGTCCCTCATTCAGTCCGTCAACAAACCCTGGATCTGTTCTGCACGCCCTGCATCTGCTTCCCTGCAAAAACCAAGCTTCTCCCAGAGTAGAGAGCAGGGTAGGGACTGAGGGGCCATCTGCTCTGGGCGGGGAGGGTGGACAGGGACAGGATAGTCTGTCACTGCCAGGCCTGGGATGCGTCCAGCAGGTGAGCCCCACTGGCAACCCCCCTGTCACTGTCAAACCTTCTACAGTGATGGGGGCATTCCAACAGCGACTTGGGGTGTCTGAAGGAGATGGTTGTTCTGCTTTATACAAGATTCACAAACTCACCGTTTGAACTAAAGGCCAGTCCCGACAGAAGCACCCTGCCCGGCAAAGACTGGAAGGACACTGCCCAGCCCCCGGGAGAAGCCTCCGTGCTTCTCTCCCCAATCCAAGTGAGCCGTCCTAGGGCGTGGCTCTCCCGCTGCCCCGTCTGCCCAAGCATCTCTCTGCCCCCCGCTCCCTGCAGGCCCTGGTCATTCTTGTCCCCCCGGCCTCCTAAAGAGAGATGGAGAGCTGGGCGCTTCACAACCCACGGACGAAGAGCCAGAGGGACTCTGCCAAATCCCGAAAGAGAGAATGGAGCCGGGACAAGAACCCAGGGCCCCTGCCCGCCTTCACTCCAGAGAGAGCAACCCCTGAAACCTTGAGCCACAAACCGCTGGCCCTGGCAGCGGCCGCGGGCTCTTCGCCCAGATGACTCTGGTGCAAACACAGCCCGTGGGTAACAGCGACCTCCGCTATCACTTACCAAGCGCCTGCGATTAGCCAGGCTGAGTGCACTGCAGCTCCAGCTTCCCTTACGCCTCAAGCCACCTTTGAGGCAGACACTGTTACTCTCCCAGTTTTCAGATGCGATCACTGAGGCGCTGAGAGGCTAGCGGAACTGCCCATAGTCACACAGCTGGCAAATGGCAGGGCCCAGCTTTGGGCAGCTCACGATGCCATTCTACAGCTAACAGCTGCGTTGGCCACCAAATAACAAAAGGGGACTCACCAGCTAGACGCAGGCACACCCCTCTAACAACGGGGCGCGATGAGCTCCAGGCCGCTGCTACTTGAAGGAAGAGTTGGGTGGTGTGAGGAGAGCTGCCTCCCCTGCCTCCGAGGGTCCCGGGCCCCTCCGTGGGCCGCGCTGCTCCGCTCTGGCAGGGATGGGCTGTGGGCGCGCTCTGGCACTCAAGGAAAAACGTTTCCAGCGATGGTAGCAGCTGCTGTTGCCGCAGCTCTGATTCCCAGAGGATCCCAAAGCCTTTCCCATCATTTTTGCCCTTTTTCAGAAACCACTTAGCCGCTGCCCCTCCTCCCACCAGGCCAGGGCTGCAGTGCACTTAGCCACACGCAGCCCAGACCAGCCAGAGCTGTGACCTCAGCTCTCAGGGAAGGAGGGCGCTGCTCAGGCCTCCCAAGCCCACCACTCCACAGGCAGGGGGTCCTGAAGCAACAGCTCAACAAGGCAGTGCCCCAGCCCATCTGTAAGGCCAGGTGACAGGTGAGACCGATGGAAGCTGAGATTCAGTCATTCAAATCTCACCCCCTTCAAATAGCCTCCCGTCACCCCCCACGGACCTGGCCTGAAATGCTCACCTCCCCACTCCTGCAGAAACCTCAACTGTGCCTTCCCGTGGCCATTGGTGCTTGCGATCCCAATGACAACAATAACGGCAGTGAGCTCTCCCCGGGCCCAGGGGTGTGCGGGTTCTGGGGTAGCACTTCATCTGCGCCATCTCATCGCCCTCACAGAGTTTCATGAGAGTGAGTAGGATTCTGCCCCCATTTTGCCCCAAGGACAGTGGGAAGCGTACCGGTCTCATCTGAAGCTTGCATTGAGTTCTTATTTCTCTGATGTTCCTATCTTGCTTCGCAGATTTTGATGGCTCCAGACCCTCTATTTCCCTTCTCGA